TAGAATAAACTATTTTTACTCCTGCTGTTTGCCTCTTGCTCTCAAATATTCTTTCTTGAGAAAAGTTGGTCCGAATTGCAATTGCTGCCTCTGTAATACTGCTGCATGAGAAGCAATGCTCCTTGATAAGGAGCCTTAAACACTGCGGCAGTTCCAAAAAACTTGTCCCAAAAACCTGGGTGTATGCCATAAAGGCATGCATTTTATAACTTTGTGTTACTTGGCCAGTTTTGCACAAAGTCCCTGTCAAGTCCCTCTAGTGGGTGCTCCAGAGCTTACAGTTATAAGGGTGGGTTTTTTATTTTTAAGTCCTGAATGCTTGTAAGGTAGCTGGGCTTCATATGGGGGCTTTCTGTCTTCCACAAAGGGAGGAGGAGGTTCTTTTAGTTAATGCAAGGGCAGCATGGAAACTAAAAAGGAGAGAGGCATTAGAGGGAGCAGTATAGGTCTGTTTAACCACAAGGATGCTCTGCCCTTGAGGACATTGGGGAGGAAAGCATCTGTGCTATTTTAGAGCTCATTTTTCAGGCAATGCTAGAGCAGGGAGGTTGCAGGGTTGTTACTGTCCTCTGCCTCTTCCATTTCTCTTGCCAGGCAACTGGCAGCAAGGGGCAGAACATTTGTTTTGGTTTTCATAAATGGGGTTTCTGCTTTGTCTCAATATGGGGGATGTGTATTGACAAGATGCTGCCAAGGAGAAACCTGAGTTCTTGCACATCACTGCTCAGATGATATAGGTCTTATACCATCACTGTAAACAGTCTTGACCACAATATGCACTTGGCTTGAAATAATCTTGCTGATTTATCAGAAACAGTAGATCAATATTCTTTATAAGCCTCTGAAAGTGCTAGGAAGGAACATAACTTTTTCTGCAAGCTTTAGACATTATAAAAATGTAAATGCCACTTTTATTTTCAGAGTGTTAAGTGGTTGTTCATCTGTAGTTAAGGTGCACCTTGATCCCAAAGGCTTAACTAGGTATCATTAAGTATTTCCAAAACCATCTTTCTTTGGCCTCATGTTGCTGGAGATGCTGGGTATGTGGGGGTAGGAATCACTCTAAATTTCCTCTGCCCCTGCTTGTAGAAGTAAAGATACACTGATCTTGTCTAGGTCTGAAGAATCTTCCCATGGGCAGTGGGCTGCCAGGCTGTCCAGCTGCTTATGGGGTGGGCAAGGATAATCCAGTTTGGATGTCATTATGTTCTTTACTGGCACTGGAACTTAAGCTCCTTAAAAGGGGCCATGAAGCAAATGGCTCTGATGGCCTTTTCACAGGAGGGAAGTGCTTTTCTTTAGTACAAAGATTTCTTTGATTTAACAGGTTTACCTGTTTAAACTGATTTAATCAATAGTGGGATAATCACTTTCTTTAAATGAAGCTAGGGCTATATTTTGACTACTTCACTATGACTGATGCCTTTGTCTTAAGAGTGCTGGCTTCAAGATGTTATGTTTTTCTGTCTTCAATGATCAAAAGGCACAGGGCTGCTTGTGAAATAGACTGTTTGCAGGGATTAGTGATCCTTGAAATGGATATGCAAGCTAAAGATGAAATTTTGAGAGTCAAAATATAGGCCTCACTTACAAATGCTGCATTAGTGTAATGTTCCATTAAGATTTGGTGTTTCATTAAAATTCTGGAGGGAAAAGCTGGAGTCAGACAGCTTCACTTGTTAAAGCTTTATCTAATGCCCTCCTATTTTGAGGGTTAAAAAGGCAGTGCTGGAGAATACAACAGTGCATTGAAAGTCTTAGTTGCTTTATAATTTTCAAAGCATGTTCCCTACTTGGTTCGAGCTTGGAGATATACAATACACTTCTGAAATTCAGAAATTGGAATATGAAGGAATAGTAATTTTTAATTGAAGTAGCTTAGCAGGGCATTCAGTTGTTCGGTTGATATAATATTTGCTTGCTCTAAGCAAAAGTGGGACAAAGCTCTGATACCCTTTGATCTCCACTTACTGTGGGAAAGGGTCACCTGGTTTTGTATTGCTTTCTGGGGCAGAATGAAACAGCTGGCACACCATTTCTGTTTTCCCTGTCCTTTTATTGAAAGTACATGGTAAATCATTGGTTAGGCTATGGCTCTTGTATGTAAATTCAGAGACTTGCAGGAAAACATTGTGATGTTAGTGTCTGCATATTTTTTTAGTGGAACTGATCTATGAGTTGATGCTTGCTGGAGCAGAGTATATGGAAGCTGATTTTTCTGTTGCTGGCATTTGGGTGTTACTGGAAATGGGGAGCACTATTTCTAAGTTCTTTAGTTAAAGAGTAGACATGGCAGAGATGGGTATAAAGAAGCTTGCTATGTAGCCATCAACTTAATTGGAACTAGAGTTGTTTGCTTTTGGGATCAGGTCTCATTAAAACAGAGGAAGGCAAACAAAGCTTGAGGATAAACCGATGCCATAGGCCTCTGTCATGTTACTCTTTTGACTCTGTTTTTTTTTTTTTTTTTCCACTGAAACTACTGACAATGAATTAGGTTCATGAGCAGGTGGTAATTTGAACAGGAAAGCGCAAGATTAAAAATAGTGAGAAGCTATAGCTGCTCCTACAGGTCAATCCCCTCCAGTAATGTAGCTTCTACAAATGATATCTTGATTATGCCTTAAAACACTGGTGACTTCTTCCTTTGAAATGCATGTGCATGGTTGCAAGCCTGAGACTGAAGAAGGATTGCTGCCCCCTCGAAAAGGACAAGGACAAAAGGATGAAAACGTGGTGAGGACCATGTCAGCACAGGGTTTGACCCTGTTGCCTGCATGCCAAAGCAGTGCTGATCAGTGTAGACCTAGGTGTCAATACATTACTCATTGCAGAAGACTCTGCAACTTTGATTACAAAAGTTTGGAAGTACTAACTAACTTCAGCTAAATCTCCATTTGCCTATGTGTAGATGTGAAATTAAAGCACCTTTTTTTTCTTGGATATTGCCTCTAGCATTCTGGTATGGGTATCCTTACCACCAGACTGAGGGAGCTGAAGAGTGTGTGTGCAAGAAGGACTTGCAGAAGCTGTGACTTTGTTCTGCTTCAAGCATCTTTTCTTTTGTAGCTACTTGAAAATAATATTTGTGCTAGTGGTGGGAAGCATCACAGAAGTCCTTGCCCAGCTGCTGGGTAAAGTATCCTTTTCTTAGGAAGCCAGATTTGCAGTCTAGTAATAAGAGGCAATAATATCAAGTTATTTGTTGTGGTGTGTTTATGTATGGGTTTTTTGTTTATTTTTGTTTCTTTCTGTTTTCATACACTTTATTGGTAGAGGTTCAGAAAGAGCCTACCTGTGAGTTCCAAAGATACAACCGAGCAGTTAACTTAGAAGCTTCTTGAATATTTTAGAGCTACTTGTATGAATGCTAGTCGGGTTTGGAGCATGTAGCTGCTTCTTGTTTCTCTTTCTGCAGTGAGGGCAGCAACTGTAATGTCAGCAGGGTTTACATGCTGACCATGTTAAATGCCCCTTCCTCTCTTTTAATTTGCTTAAACTTAAAAAGTGTCTTTAAGAACTATGCATGTAATGTGATTTTTAGAGGTAACTATTAGTATTTTGCAGCTTGCTAAGGGCTTTCCTTTACTAATGTGTAAAGTAACATCGGGCTGACTGAATAAGAGTGGCCGTGTACGTTGTGGCCTTGAGGCCTTGTATGTTGAGGACAAGCAAATAGTCCTCAAGAAGAGGGTGTCGCTTTGGGATACATCAACATGGGCCTTGGGTTTCACGTAGGGCTTCACCTGGGGAGTTGAAGTGCTTTTCAGGCCCTTGTGGCTTTTGTCTCGCCTCAGTGGCAGTAGACGCGTTGTTGCCCTGTGCGTTTGGTTTCCCGTGCGGGCGGTGGCGTCGGGCGCAGCTCTGTGATGCGGCGGTTCTGTCACAACGGGGCAGCTGCGCGGAGGGCCCTGCGCCGTGCGCGGCAGCCCCGCTTGGCGCCCGCGCTTCTCCCCATGCAGCAGTGACCAGGAGTGGCACAAGGTGGTGGGCGCTTGGTGTGTGACACATTATACAGTGCTCGCTTTCAGAGCCTGACAGCAATAAAGACATATATTGCTACTGTGGTAAGTAAGCAGTATTGCAGGACTGCAAAGGGTGGAAAATGGCAATTATCTAAACTCTAGCTGTTCATGTTCTGGGGACATGAGTTGTTTTCCTTTCTTGGGGAAAAAATGTTATAAAAGGCATGCCTTCTGTCTGAATTTCACTGAATTTGACAAATGTAGCCTGAAATAAATCCTGCATGATAACAAAGTTTGCTACCTGTTCATGTTATTTTAGCATCTGTCCAGGCCCATTTGTAAGCAACATAGGAGTAAATACAGATCTATTTGTATCTTCTTACTTACGGGTTACCTTAATTGAGGATTCAATCCAGAGGTTTGTTTCTTAGTTCTCTGAAAAGTCCAACCTTATTTAGTGTGTACTAAAGCAGTTACATAGATGCGTTGTTACTCTTTTGGTTGAAGCTTCAATTTTAGATCTTGGAGGAATTAGTAGAGCCAGTCACTGAGTGAATTTTCTAGAGGGGTGTGTCTTTGCCTTAAAATCAAATCCTGTACACTCTTCTGTCACATCCCCTGTACTAAAAAGAATGACAAATCGCAGTGGACAAACTGTGTTAATATCTGCAGCAACCCTCTTGTTAAGGAGGTGAGAACTTGTAAAGAATGCCTGTGAGTGATAAAACAGTATTGCTGCAAACATGGCCTAGTCTTAACTCCAACTGTGCTGTTGTGCTCATGAATGTCTATATAGCTTATCTTGGTGGGTAGCAGGGAATCTATGTTGATACTAGCCCCTAAATTCATCAAGAGGTACTCGATAGAAATTGGTTTGGAATTATTTCACAGTAACTACTTGTCTTTAATGTCTTTTAATGTACATGTACACAGAACTTGTTTAAACTTGTAACAAGCATTTTATGATTTAATTTGTTCTGTACATTGCCAGATGCATAAATCTTCAACACTATTTTCTTTTTTTAGATGATACAGCTCTAGGGGAAAGAAAGACTTGTCTCCAAGATTTGCTTTACACTATCTGAATAGTGAAAGCACAATGAACATTTCTTAAGGGCTTTACCAGAAATTAAAGGTCGTCTAGAAACAAGCACATTGAACTTCAAGGAGTAAGAGTTCAACAAGAGCCTGGATATTGCTAACCAGTAAACCTGGTCTGGACAGACAGCTTAGGGATGAATACCATTGAGACAGCAAAGCTCGAAGAGCACATGGAGGGCCAAAGCAATGACACTTCTAATGGCTACACGCGACCTACTCTCTCTGTTGCTGAAGAGAACAAAAATGGCACTAGTAAACCAAAGGGCTTGTCCAATGGCTTGCGGAAAAGCACAAAGAAGTATCCTGACTACATCCAGATTGCTATGCCTGCTGAAACTCGGAACAAGTTCCCCCTGGAGTGGTGGAAGACAGGCATTGCCTTTGTCTATGCTCTCTTCAACTTGATTCTAACAACTGTCATGATCACTGTGGTCCATGAGAGAGTACCTCCCAAGGAGCTTAGCCCTCCCTTGCCTGACAAATTCTTTGATTATATTGATCGTGTGAATTGGGCTTTTTCTGTATCAGAAATAAATGGGATGATACTAGTTGGATTATGGATATTCCAGTGGCTGTTTCTTAGATATAAGTAAGTAGCTTTATTTTTTTTTCCTTCTGCTACATGCTTTTAAAATGTTGGCTTCACTTATTTACCTTAGGAAGCATTGGACTTTATTCTCAGCCAGTACTCAGGCATACAGCTTTCATTGTATGGCTTACAATGAAAAGAAGGTAGAATCTCTAGCCATGTGGTAGAGTAGTGCTAGCAGGAAAAGGGCAAGGGGATGACCTCATTTGAAAATGAGGCACTCCCTGTGCTGGATGCAGAGATGAGGGTTTTTCCCTAATTATAGAATAATATTTTTAAAATCTGATTTGACACATGTGCTAGTCATATTCTGGGACTGGGATTCCCAGAATGTGTTTATTGAAATGCGTATGTTTAAAAAGGATAATTCTGATTTTTTTAAAGAAAAAATTATCCTCCAAATCTAAGGAGGAACTCATAGTTCACTAGTACTAAACTAGAGGCTTTCTTCTTGTTTTCTCTATTTACTTAAGATATAGAGGTTTTAGAATTGTTTGCTTGTTGATATTATAGGATGGAAATATGAAAATTGCTGAACCAAACAAAGCAAAGTTTGAGAGCACACCTAAACTGTTACCTACATTAGATTGTGGCTAAGCTAGAGTGGTTAGACCAACATAGTTGGAACTCTGTAGTGGCTATCATTTCTTTCTGCATCTGCCATGATCTAGCAAGAGTAAAAATCTGAAGATAATGTGCAAAAAAATTTTTTTGTATTTGACTGCCAGATGTGCAGTGGGGATCAGAACAGAGCTCTCTAGAGATCCCCCCTAATTTTAAGGGTTTAGTCATTTAATAAAGCTAGAGGTCCCAAATTTTGTTATACATGTATCCTTCATATGATTCTTTTCACTTTCTTGTTTCAGATCGATAGTGGGACGCAGGTTCTTTTTTATAATAGGAACTTTGTACCTGTACCGCTGCATTACCATGTATGTTACCACCTTACCTGTGCCTGGAATGCATTTTCAGTGTGCACCAAAGGTAAGAACCTTTACTTCATGGTACTTCATGTCTGAGACTTTGTGGCTCCTTAGAATAAATTTTTCTAGATACATTGGTCATTTAATAACCAAAATAACTTTCCATTGATATCTTTCGGAAGAGTAAATATGATCTCTAGCAATAAATCAAAAGTTGCATGAAATATTAACAGCTTGAAGCTGTTGCAACTAACATGCATCAAAATAGAACCTGTGTTGAAATGTTAACTACTGCTAAATGAGTGAACTGACCTGCTGTAGTACCCTTTAAAACAGAGGGGGGGATTGGGGAGAAGACAGCATATCATGGACTTCACCGTGTTTCTCAGTGACTGGCCTGTCACTTAAGCCTTCTGAAGACCTTAGGTTGTCTGCATATCCCTGCCAAAAACCTAAAAAAGTATGTGTGACTAAACCAAGTTTAGTTATTGAGCTAATCTATAGAAGCATACAGTAACACTTAAATTTGTCAGTGCAGTTAAGCAGTGACATAAAAAGTCCATTACTATCAGTTTAGATTACTGGAAAATTGTAGGCCTGGGATTGTTCCAAATTCTCCACAAGGAATAAGGAGCAAATAGTATGGCAGCTGCACCAAAAAAAGAAAATGTGGGAACAATTTGGTCGCGTGCTGAGAAGATGGACCTCTTGAAGCTTTTCTGTGCTGAAAATCACTTGTGTGTGTTACTGGCATCAGAACAAAATTGAAAGCCTCTGTTAAATACATGCTACAGCTAAGGAAAACTTTTTTACGTATATATTTTTGATTCTAGAATACGTAACATCTTCTGTGAAGAGCTGATTTGAACAGTGAAGTATAACTGGCTATTTGCCTAATGTGTGAAGAAATAAACTGTTTGTAATGCATATTTTAAAAAACAAAACAATCTCCTGTATAGAAATCCTAACTGAGTTTGTAAATAGAAGTAAAATTAAGCAAGCTTAAGGTTTTCATCAGGTGGAAATGTTGCTTGGCTCTGAATAAAATGGCAGAGCTGGTACATATGGCAGTATGGCTGGAGGGCAGTGTTCAGTGGTCTCCATCCAGTTCATCAGTGACTATTATGTGATACCTAATATTACACACTTACAGAATATAGTGAAAGGATAAACAGGGTTTCCTTCTCATATGCCTATTAAAGTGTGGGTTTAAATATGAAATAGCCTGGGAAAGAACAGACACAATGTTCAGGTGTTATCAACCTGGCTTTTAGCTGCTGTTACCTTGTAAGTATGCATGCTACTTGTCTAAGAAGTGTGTGGAAGAAACCGAAGAACACAGACACAAGTGTTACCTTTTTGTCTCTAGTCCATGTATGTTTGGGCAAGAAGCTTAGTCAAATCACATAGTCTATCTATTTTTTCCTTTTGTTTTATAGTTGAATGGAGATTCTCAGGCAAAGGTGCAGAGGATCCTGCGACTGATTTCTGGTGGTGGTTTGTCCATAACTGGATCTCATATACTATGTGGAGACTTTTTGTTCAGTGGTCATACTGTGGTACTAACACTCACATACTTATTCATCAAAGAGTGTAAGTTGTGGTATTTTAAATTTTTTTTCATATCTGTTGTACTGGCAAAACACTTGACAGGAGTGCTGTAAAGATTATTGTTTAGCCTATTACACAGATTCTGTGTTTGAAATGTAAAATGAATTTGATTGTAGAGTGAAAATAGAGTAGTGAGAGTGTGATGGGCTTTAAGGGCCTAATGTGCCTAGATACCTTGCTTCTATTTTTATAAATATTGTGATTACTGATTGAAGCATTCAACTTTCCATTATTTATTGACAGATTATGCAAAATGAGTAAAACATACTATAGTTAGATATGCGGACTTGCTTTTTGCAGCATGCCTCATATACCTTAAATTTTAGGCCTTTTCTGCAGCTTGAGCTCCCAAATCTGATGGGCTGGGGCTAAAGAGCCCTTTTACTCTTGAGGCTTGGCCGCTCATGACTGTGCCAGTTGGGTGTTTCTTTCCTACTTCATATATCTGGAGTTAGAATCTACTCCTCCTGACTGCATCCCAAACTACAAAATTGCTAGTTTGGTTCATTGGCATGTGCAAATTTCCCTGAAACAGAAGTAAGGCTGGCCAGTATCAGTTACATGCTTTCCTTTACCAAGATGTTCAGAGAATTGTTATAGTGCTATGTTCTGCCTAAATTGTTGTATAATGCACTGAAACTAGAAAGATGTTCCAAGCACCCAATAAAATAACCAAAGGGTATGTTTTACCTTGATCTTGTCACTTTTTCATGTGCTCTGTGACTTAATTGGAAAACCTAATTTGACTAGAAAATGGGTCATGGTGCTCTCTGTCTAACCTTAAGCTCATCTGGGGTTCACTTGGCAAAATAAGAGGACTATAGTAAGTTAGCTTAGTTCTTTGTCCAGTTTTGACAAAATTGGAGCTTTTACCTGTGCTTATAAATTAGCTATGTGTTAAAGTTTGTTTTTCCCCACTGTGGACTCTTCACCTCCTTCCCATTTGACAGATTCACCACGTCATTTCTGGTGGTATCACTTAATCTGCTGGCTGATGAGTGCTGCTGGCATAATTTGCATCCTTGTTGCTCATGAACACTACACTGTAGATGTCGTCATTGCTTACTATATCACCACACGTCTCTTCTGGTGGTACCACTCAATGGCTAATGAAAAGGTGAGTACTGGGTATGTTTATAATCAATACATAGACACCATTTGTTCTGTAGAAAGGCCAAAATTAGTTATTCAAATGGAAATTAAAACACAAGTTTGATATAAATCTTTAAACTGAGCAAAGAGCTTGTCTTTACTGTGATTTAAGATGTTTTTTCTTGGTTGGGACTGCTAAGTTAACCTGTGTCTTGGCATTGAACACTTCAATGTTTTATTGCTGTGGTATAGAATAGACCTTAACTGTCTTAGATGGAATAAACAATAACAACACTTCCGAAATTTCTTTCCAACTTGAACTATCAAGAACTCCAGTGGCAACTCTGCCATAAAAGTCATTAAAATAGCCTGTTCAGAAGGCATCTGCTTTCACTGGGTCGAGTGCCCTTTTGAAAAGGAACACAAATATCAGCTTTCAAACCATTTAGCCTAGTCTGCAGCTATTGGTCATCTACAGAAATATGGCACATGGCAGAAACATGCTTGAAAGTACTTGCATTCAGAAATGGATGCTGTTTTGTGCCTTTGAGTAATACAGTTCCAAAGTATCACTCTGTATAAAATATGTTTAGTTGTCAGCATACTTTTGGCCTATGATATACTACCTTTTGGTATCAGGTTTTTCCAGGCTAGAGACACCTATTCTCCACATAAGCACATTCAGATATATTGCAATTTTTAACCATCCTTATGACTCAGTTGATTATTAATGCTTGGAACTGATTATCTTGTCTTTGTTTCCTTTTTCCCTTGCCTACTTGTGCCAATACAGACTTTAAAGGTCTCTTCGCAGACAAACTTTCTATCTCGAGCATGGTGGTATCCAATATTTTATTTCTTTGAGAAGAATGTGCAAGGCTCAGTTCCTTGCAGCTTTTCCTGGCCAATATCGTGGCCTCCCAGCTGCTTCAAATCTTCATGCAAAAAGTACTCACGGGTTCAGAAGACAGGAGAAGACAATGAAAAATCTACCTGAAGAAATGGAAGAAAGTCTGCTCTGTTTTTTACCAAAACACTAATGCTGTAACCAAAGTTCTCAAGAGGACTACACTGTAACTGAAGAAGTGGACCAAACCTCTGTGCAATTGATTGGAAAGACAATTGTAGACAAATATATTGCCATTTCATATGTTTTCCTGTCCATCACACTGTACAGGCTTATTCTACTCTTCAGTCCTAATAGATTGCGCCTCTTGACGGGATTTTTTTTTTCCTTAAAATGGAGCAGGACTTTGCTTTACAAATGAGATAGAGGTGCCAAAGAACACACCCCTTCCATTACTAACTGTCATTCATTCACAAAAGCACCCCAAAATCCTGTCTTCAGGGTTTCTGGAGTGTAAGGGCAAAAATGTGTTAAATTTTACAGGCACAATATTTGTGTATTAAGATAAATGGAAAATAACACAATGGTGGGAAATGTTTTGTTGCTTTTTTCTTGCTAATGAAGGTAAGGCCTTGCATCACTGGTACAGCTGGAAGCAAGTCTTGACTTTTTACACTCTATGGGAATGAATATCCTATGACCCTAAAATACTACCATCACCATCTCCCCTGTGTTCTACTATATACCAATTTTTACATTTTTATTAATTTTATATAAAAACTGTGCTACCTGGTGACTGCAAATTTGGCATAGCCACTAACATGAAGCTCAAGGGGCCTACAATTTTATTTTTAAAAATACCATTTCAAAGTCTAGATCTTTAATTGCAGTTTGGGCTTGTGTATAGCTATACAGTGCCTATTGGTGTGTATACATGTAAGCAAACACACGCATACACTGCTGTGTAGTTAAACACATTAAAACTACTTAACTGAAAAGAGTGTTCAGACTGTTCTTAATTCAGGCAAGAGTCTTAGGTTTCACCTGCTTAAGGAATGCAAGGCCAGATCCTACATGGGGCTGTATTTTTTTTTTTTTTTAACTTTCATAACTATCTCTTGAAACTGCTTAAAGTGTGCTTGGGATCTTTTTTCTGTGTTTTTAACCTCTTGGCACACACTTCTGATTTATTAAAAACAGTGACAAGTGAATACATACAACAGAAGCATTTATTTAATTAGTACCTGAAACCATTTCATATTAAGTGACACTGGTTTAATTCACATGCAAATTACCTTTTTCCCAGGATTTTAGTCCATGTAGAATGGCTATATGAGCGTATTCGTTGAGGTAGTAGGAAGTTACCATGGTGTAAACATGTAACAAAAATGCAAACAATGCTGATCAACAGCTACCTAGTTCTTTTTTTATTGTGTTGTTGGGAAGTGAAATAGAAAATTACCATCCCATGTTTAAGTGTTTGTGTTCTATATTCATTTCTGCGGCTAGTCAATTTTATTTCCAAATCTTCAGTGAAGTCTGATAGCAGAAGAGAGGTAAAGTGATATTAAAGGAAATGCTGCTTATTTTTAAAATGTCTTGAACTGAGTGGCAAGTGTGAACATAGTTTAATGACAGCTTGTTTTTAAAAAGGATGGATACAGTTAATAAAATGGGATATAGTATTCAAATATGACTTTTTTTCAGTTAGAGGGATCAATTACTATAAGCTATACATGAGAATAATGTTAATGTGCATTTCAAACTTTTTTGTGCATTATCAAGTATAATACAATAAACAATGTTCTTTACAAAACATCGTTGGTAAGACTTAGAAATTAAAGTAGTTCTGCTGATGCTTGGTTTTGTTATTTATAGTGAGCTGCTTCTGTGTTCTTTGTTATTTTGCTTTTGTCTTTTAACATGCCCTTGGAGGTTGTGAGTGTGCAGACCTACTCATGGTCTCATTTGACTGTTGCTGGCAGAAAGTGAGCAGCTTAATCCAATTTCAAGCATTTATATGAAAGCAGTTTTTCTGTATCTATGAATTGGTACAATGTTAGTCTGTAGACCTCCCCAAAAAAATGCTATATCAATCCAACTTTGTAGAACATTAACATTTTTGAAGATGAATTTATAAGCCACTCCTAGTAATTGTGGATGAGTTTTGTTGGTTCATGCCTTGAATTCATTTGATGAAAAGCATTCCAGTAAGGATCTGAAATGGTTGGTTTCATCTGTGGATAAATAACAAATACTTTGATAGCTTAGATACTTAGTTAAATAACCATTGCTAGCCTAGATATTTAGTTAGCTAAATAACCAATTATTGTGTTGGTGAGGGTTTTAATCTATCAGTAAAGCATAGTTCAAGAATTTTTAACACTTGTGAAATTCCTAGGGAAGAGGGGAGTCAAGTAAATATTTAGTTTCTATTGGATGGTGCAAGCTTTCACTTTACTTTAATTCTTGTTCTGGCCTAGCCCTGCTTTAAGTGCTTAGATTTTATCCATTGTATCAAAGCGCTTAAAAAGGGATATTGGGTGTATTGTGGGTATGTGACAAAGAATCATACTTTTGTGCTACCTCAACAGCTTTAGGTTGGTATTGTTGTTTTAAATAGCATAAGTTGGAAGACTTTTTAAGCCTATCTGTAAAGTAATTAAAAGGGGGTAAGTAATGCTACTTTTTAGTGCTTATTTCTATAGTATATACAATATAAACCATAGGTGTCCTGTGAAAATGATTATTTTTAAGAGCATACTGATTTTTGTATTTCAATACTAGAGGTTGACAATATGGCTACATCCTAAGAGGGAAGAGGAATGCAATGGCTAAAATGAAGAAAAGGAGAAAATAATCACTTAATATACTAGTCGGTTTTGACTGGAGGCTCTTATCTGGGCCATATACACCCTTTGTGTTAAAGTATTACTGTAATTGTTTTTCCTTGAGTTCAACAGTATTTGTGTCTCTCAAACTGCACCTGTACTGTGATTAGAAATAAAATGCTCATTCTTTCTACTGAGGAGCATTTATGCTGAACTTCTCAGCTAGCCCTTCCTCCAACACTTGCTTTAATGCCTTACTTACATCCAAGGTTTCTTAAATTCCAATGTGAAAATGGATTTAAAAGGTTAACTTGCATATTGAAAGAAATGTGCTGCTACATGATTATAGTAGATACTTAACCAATGCCAGAAATAACAGTGGTTTCAAGTGTATGCTAACTTAAATTTTTATAGTATGTGCTTAGCACTCCCATGTGGCTGTAAATAGTATTAAATGTTAATTGTTCTCCATTTGTGTTCCTGGAAAGACAGCTATGGTCACAGTAGCAAAAAAAGGCAATTCTATATAACCTTACTGGGCTTGTTTCCCTCATAAAGAAAGGGGAGAAGGAGAAAGCTGTATTTAGTAGAGTAGATGATACTACTTTCATATAAATGAAAGCTCACGAAAATAGAACTGAGATGCATGTTAAGGGATGAGAATTTTCCTGATTAGGTTGTCCTAGCTGTATCTTAAATCTGAATATGCTCCAAGTCTGAGTACTCTCTTGTTCTGTCATTAGTATATGGCTGAACAGTTTACTCTTCCTGTATAAATTATTTGGTGCCTGTGCAAATCTGTCTCCTCATGTCAGAAGACAAGTATGGCTTGCTGCTCTAGAGATCAGTTCCCTTAATTGTAGTGCAAAGTAAAGCCTTTTCCTTTCTTTTAAAAGTAATTTTCCACAGGGCTTTCTTTAGTAACTTAAATGACCCTGGTTTTAGTTCATCTTGAATTGCCTTTTTTAATTTCTCTATAAAACTCATCAGATGTTCTAAGCAAGTACTAAAGATTTGATTGCTTTACTGGCTGGTTTCACAGCTGTAAAGCTCTGTCTTCTTGATATTTTGCAATATATAAAATGCTTTGGATTTACCTAGAGGTCTTGTCTCAACATATAGTCAGAATGACACTGTAAGATAGGATTCTTCTGCATTGAAGTGTTATATATCAGACACTAAATTGGCAACTGAAAATCTTAAAGAAATACTTCTGCTGGACACTGCAGCTCAGTGTTCCTGCTTAAGTGTGTGTAATTTCCTTGTATGCTATCAATCATTTATGTAGTACTATTATGTTGCTTCCTATCATCCAAAAAATCTGCCAAGGCACTAGGAATGAAGGCCAGAGGCTTCTGTTTTTAGTTATTAAAAGGAAAGGAAAACTGAAACCTTAGGTGGTAACTACATGTATTCTTTTTTTTAACAAACTAAGCCATAACTGCACAAACTTTCAGGTACCATAGAACTAGCCTGTATCTGTGTACTAGCTAGTGCTGTAAAAAACAAAGCTGGAAGGTATCAGCCTGTATTAAGGTTTTTATCATACAGTACAGTTGTGCATCTGTACTATTGGGTGTATTATGTTTCATGAATAGCCTCCAATGTAAGAAACTCAGACTGAGATACTTGCAGACTTTTAATTATTTAACTGTGATTATCAAACTTTCATATGCCTTTTCTCTTAGCTGCTCTAACAGTTTCTTACAAGAGTAAACTGTTGTGGTGCTCTAAATGTGATTAAAAATTTGCTCCAGGTGGCTGAGGCTTCCGTAGATTTTTATGGCTTGTTTAAATACGGTGCATAAGGATTTCAGGCTAGGTATAGATAGCTTATGAAAAACATTGGGAAAATGCTCATACTTGTAGATAATCTTTCCTAACAAATCCCTTTAAGTGCCTGAATGATATTTTAAGATGAAATAACTATATTGATCACTTGATAGTGTGGATCTCAAGTATTCTGTGTTGTTGAAGATTCTTTATTTTCCGTGGTGGTATGTGTTTTGAGGTCTTTTTCTTTATCACATGAAAGACTTGATTTGCTTTCCAGTGAAAGCTTAATTTCCTGAGCACTTAGAATTTAACAAATAGCATGAGAAACTTTTTAGTGCTTGTGTGCTATGGGCTAATGTTCACTATAAAGCTCCAACCCACATAGCAGGGAAGATTGCTGCTTCTGGAGGAACTAGATGGTGATTACAGCCAAATGACTGAGCCACATGCTACAGGCAGCCTTATCCATACCATAGTGAACAAAGATGCTCTATTACCACATTTTATTTAGTGGTCACTTTCTCAGATGATACCGTGATGCTGTATTGGTTGTCCCTGCCCTTTCTCTAGATGAGGAGTGAATGTTTTTGTCCTTGCCTTGCAATGTGGTTGGTGACTGCTTATACTCTTGGTAAATGTCAATGGGAAAAGGTAGTTCTATTTTTAAGTCCTTGTGTGTGTGGTGGTTCTGGCGGAAATACAAATTTCAAGCCATGCATATGTGCTATTAGTTCCAAATTTTGCCTTTGTGTTCTGTCCAATATCTTTAGGCAGCTAGCATTTGTGCAACTTCAAAGCCTTGTTACAGGACAAACTTGTGTGCCAATTGATATATTCACAAAATTCTCTTTTGAAATGTGTTGGAAGGATTTTTTTTTTATTTATTTTTGTCTTTAAACAAAGGATTAAAATGAGTTGTCTAACTAGCTGAAATAGAGGCATCTTGTGTAGGCACTATGGGTGTGTGCAGGGATCTCCAGAACAGATACAATACTGGATGCCGAGCATGGTCTCCTTCCATGTATGGGATCTTCCATGTTGCATGTACATCACAAGCTGGGCCATCTTCCATATCCTGCTGGGAGCTCTTCAGGTCTCAAAGACGGCAATAGCTCGAAGATCAATTCTTATAGTTGCTTTTGACCTGTACAAGGCAGTGAATGGAGCTATCGCTCTACAGAACTGTAGCTGGTACTTTGCTTAAAGCGTAAAATTAGGACTTGAAATGGGTAGGTTAGTTTGTGCCTGCCTGCCCCTTTATTTTTTAATTAGAGGTGGTAAGGATGCTGAGAAGCAGGAACATGACTTTACCTTTGCATCTGTTGTCACTTTACCAGCTGGAATATGTGTATAGACCTTCAAGGGCTAAGCTTACTTCAACTCCTCTTTCATTTTGGCTAACTTGTTGCTTCTGTAAATGCTGGTTTTGCAATCTGTTTTTCAGTTACGGCCACTCAAAATGCAGCATGCCTGTTTTAACATGGGAAGAATTGCACTCTTTTCATCTGCTTCCATTAACTGCCTCCTAAATAGCTTGATGCAGATAAGCATATGACCTATGGTTAATTTTGTCTGTCTTCCAATCTCAAGGGAAAACGTGTTCTTGGGTAAAAACACTTTTACACAGCTTGAAGCCTGGAACTTTTCAAGTACAAAATCTCTAGCATCTGGGATATACTTTGTATGGCAGGAAGCACTTGCTTTGAGAAAATCTTGATGTGCTGCTGTTAGTAAATTGCTAGTAGTTATTTTCCTAATTCAGGAGTGTGTGAGATATGACAGTCTGACTTCTGACTGTTTTGCAAGGTTGGTGTTGCACCAAAACCTGAAAGCACAACAGGACCTAATGATTTGTTGGTTACAGTTCTCACTGCTTTCATGTGACTGAGGAGGAGAAATCTAAAGCCTTCTGTTAAGAACAATAGAGAATGTCACTTTTAAATGCAGTGCTGTTTCTGTGTGATAACTGGAGATAGGGCTCCAACCTAGGAAAAGTTATCCAAGAAAAGCTTTTGTTACTGCTTAAGTGAGATTTGTGCTGAGCCTTCTACCAGTGTTTGCAAACGGGGCTTCCTTTTTGTGGACAGCATTCTGAGCCGATAAGTCAGCTCTTATGTTGTAAAACTTTCAGGATACTAATAATGCTTGCAACATGTGTCAGATTTTGGTTTAAGTGAATGACAGCTGAGTTTTGTGGTTTTTTGTATGCCATGGGATGCTAGAGTACTGAGTTGAAAGCTACTGCAATCTATGTTCAGCTATTTAAAGAACAAAATACTTGCACTGGCTGTACTTAAACAAAAAGTGCAATAACATGAGCATCTTTAACTTTTTTTTTTATCTCTAAAGGTGCTATTGATTACTTGCACTGTTGACCATGAGTTTGGTAAAAGTCCATTTAAAAAACTCATCCTATGTGATTTAATCAGTTGGCACATCCAAGATGATATTTCTTTATTGACAGTCTATCTACTAAACAAATGCAATACTTCAGACAATTTATGTAATTGCACATGTCATTAAAAATCAAAACTATGTTGATATATGGTGCTAATAATCTCTTAGTTATCCAGAGCTGGTATCTTTTCCTACCCTTTAACACTGAGCAGAATTGTGATGCACCTTTTCAATAAAGCACAATTTCTCACTTTAGCCTGTTTCAAGTGCTATTTATTTAAATATATTCCTTTAATTTTTCTGCTCTACAAAAACTGAAAAACAGGAGTGTATATGGGTTTTAACTTGAACTAGACCTCCAAGATCTAATTTTTATGTGCTTGAAAAGGACAATAACCTTTAGAAATTCGGTATAAAATGTAAGCATGATATTGGGTAGGATGAAGGTGTAAGAAAACCACCCTGAGGTGGTAGTGGTTGTGGGGGGGAGGGAGGCTACACGGATATTTCTCTGGTTTCATCATCATTGAAGTCAGAGAAGAGAGGATATGAAGTAGACAAAATCATAATAGAGAATGCTATTACTCAGTAGTTCCTTTTTTTGCTTTATAGACTATGCTGAGTAACCATGTCTCAAGAGCAGAAGTGAAACTTTGCTTAAACGGCAAAGCAAACTATAGTGGGGACGGTGACTAATACTTTTTTTTAAAAAAAAGAAAATATTGGTAGTATGATAATTTATTTTTTCTAAGATATCCCTTAATTTTTAGTTAAGCTGAACAGATGCTTTGTTTGAGATCTAATTGTGAATATTCTTTCCAGAACTGATCTTCTAGATCAAGAACTTGTGAAAGTGCCTTAAACTAAGGTTGCTCAGATAGAACAGAAGTCACTAAACGTCTGTTTTAAAGCTTCACAAGCACCCTACAGAGGAGAAACTGTTTTGTGTGTTCTGATGTAGAAAACTTATTTTTTCAGTCATTGTTTGGTTTGCTGCATGCAATGAAGGGCACTGCATGTCCTGGACTCTTAAGAGGCATCTTCTTGGTCATGTTAAATTATGAACATTCTCAAGGCAGCAGTATTAGTGGTAGTAAGTACATCTTCAGGAACACGTGAAACCTTTAGTTCTTGTTAAATGCCCCTGACTTTTCAGCTCAGCAGTTCCAAAAATGCCTTTGGAAGACCCAAAGGTGAAGCCATCTGTAGTGCAGTCAAGCCACAGCAAAAACAAACTGTACAATTTAATGCATCCTTCAGGGAAAACTGGTTATCTTTCATTTACCAAAAAGTGCAATATTAACAGAAATGGCTGCATGTATAAATGCCCTGCAAAAAGTATTTGTGAGCATGTGATATATCCTTTGACTAATGAACAAATGAGTGTAAATTTTCCTTGCACCTTTTTTTGAGTTAGGTACATGCTTTTAATTATATTACTCTTATTTGGAGAACATTCAAGTGTTTAGAATGTATTTGTGGCAGTATTTTTATGAATAAAGTGCCTATGGAAATACACATCTAAAAGTTGCCTAGAAACTGAACTAAGCTTACAGAAACAGCTTGCAGCTGAATGGCAGGAAACTCAAATTATGTGTAACTAGTCAACAGTGTAAGCACTGATAAGATTCAAAGGCTCAAATGAAGTTTGATTACAAAATATTGTTTTTAAGTTCATTTTGTTGATTTAGAAACTCTCATCTTCAAAGAAAGTTAATTTAACTTTTTCCTTTTCCTTTAATGAAACTTGGTTCTGGTGCTGGTTTTTTGTTTGCTTGTTTCATGGATTTTTTTTTTTTCCAGTTCAGAATAGAGTTGGCAAATTCTTACCCAAAATACAGGGCAAAACAGATTGAGGAGTAGACTTTATTTAAACTGCTAAGTAAATAGAAGGTCACTTTTGTTACACCAACATCAGGAACTAGGGAGGAAACATTTGAGTATTGTTGTACTGAAGCTTGTATGTATAGTTATTAGTGACAGAGAATATCACATGCTATTCAAGTTGTCTTTTACTGTATTTTTATGCCTTAAAAGGAGGCTTTGGTGTCTTAGGAGGAAAAGAAATTGTCACATCAATTTCTATTAAGTAGAATCATCCATTGAATCACATTTAATGTGAAAAATGGTCTCATTTTGATAAAAATAATAAATTTATTCTGCACAACTTAGAATTAGCCATATGCCACTGAAATTGATCTTTCAGCTGCATATGAAGGGAAGGAGAAAGCATCTTGTTATTTCTCAAATATGCTGTAAAGGGGAGACTAAATTACTTTTGTGTGAAGAAAATAGGTAAGAATTGTATTTTTTCCGGTTGGAAAAAAAAGCTTCTTTTCAGACCTCAGAACTCAAAACTAAGCTCCAGATTTAATATTTTTAGCTAGATTTTTCACATTGTCTCTTGCTGTGATTGTCTAATAGTTATTCCAAGTTATAGTTGCATATTTTTGTGATCACTATGGCTAAGCCACTGCATTTCAGCCCAAAGCTGCATTCTGTTCTTCAAGGTCACTTGCATTTATGAAACTTTTTCTACTTAATCTGAGGGGGAAAAAAATGTTAACCATTTAAGCTGTATCTATGTCTAAAATTCATGTAACTTCTCTAACTGCAATAAAACCTTTTTATATAGTTCAGCCATTCTTTCAGAGCTACTTGTCATTTTATACTTATTATTAAACTATTACATTTTTGTAATGGGGTAAGTACCCTTTGGTCTCTGCTGCTCTTTCTTGGAATCCTTTTTTAGCTGTCTACTGGTCTGGTGGCCTGTGGTGCTTTTTTCTTAAGGGAAGAAATACTGGGAGCACTTAAAGTCACTGCTGCAAACAGGTTTTTAGACATCTAAGTACCTTTCTGGAGAATAAATTGTAACAGTGCTTATAAATTTGCTTGTAAAATTCTTGTAGGTTTAGTCCTAGAGCTGTTCTGGGTTGGACAAGAGCAGTGGATGAGCCTAGACCTCGAGCAGCCCTTGAGGAGAGGCATGGGTGATAGTGGAACTTGGTGGTGTGTAGTTGGTGGTGTGCTGGGGTTGTGGGGGTGTGTGTGTGTTTTTTTTTTTTCCTTTTTTTTTCCCTTAAAGGATCTCTGAGCCTCCCTGCGTGGTAATGGGAAAGGATGATGGATTCTCTGAGCTTTTAGAAGCCCAGTGAAAATAAATGTTTGCAGAGCTGGAAGGGAAGGGTGTAAGGGTGAAGGGCAGGCGTTCACCCCAGGGTGTGCAGCGCTTTGGACCCGCCCTCGGCCTTGGCACGGCTCCCCGCGCAGGGCAGGAGGCGGAGGGCGCCGCTCGCCGCCCCGCCGCGCCGTTAA